ATTTTATTTCATTTGATGAGAAATTTCATTTCGTCTTACCTTGCTTATGTGAGTAGAACCTGTAATTATCAAAGCGTTAAGTTATATTCACTTACTATTTGCTCCACATTCATATCGGGTGTACAAAAACTATATAATGACGCAATCAGAGAGCAAGTGCGATGACTTAAAGTGTATTTTTTCTGCAAGGTGACCATTGGAGGTTTGGCCGATCGAGCTGGTGTACACGCGGGCGACCTGGTTGTCAAAATAAACGGAGAGACTATACATCACTTGACTCACAACGAAGTTCACGAACGCATCGTCAAAGCCGGAAACGAATTTACATTAACCGTGGTACGAAATCTGAAAGTCGAACGAACCATTAAACAAGAATGATACGCTTTCCTATCCACTATTTTCCTTTCTTACTACTATCTACTCTTGTAATTACTATTTATCCGAATATGTTCATATAAACGACAGGATTAAACAATTATGAATACCATACGAATGAAATGTTCATCAATAATGTCTTTATCAGAAGATTCACGCAAACTGTTATGGAAAATATAACAATTTAAAATTAATGACGCTTCTATTATTCAGATACCCATTACCTAATTGTTATAATATGTTTTATTAATCGTATCAATTCGAAATTAATTTTACAAAAGAGGAGCAAGTCACCTCAAATTCTATTAAGAGTTGAATCACTGTTGCAAACTTCATGTGAATCAAATTGATGATCTCTTAGTGTTAAAATGACCTCAAACACTGTCCTTATGAAAAACCTAAGATTACTGACAGACTCATTATCACTTAAAAAGAATGTATTCAGATAAAGTGATGAAGGAGCATATACAACATTGTAAGTGTCGGGAAAGTGAGGATAGTTCACAAAGTTTTGGAACAGGGACTTTCGTCTGCCAGACGTCTTTTTTTAAAGATGACGAATTGAGGACTGTAGTTGAAAAAGATCCGAGTTTAACAATCGGAAAGATTGCAGAAATTCTTGGTGTGTTGTGGTTTATAGTTCAAGAACACCTTTACAAGATTACAAAGGTGTAACGATGCGGGAAATGGATCCTGTATGTCCATAGTACAGACGATCGAGCAACGAGAGTTGCTGTATGCAATTCGTTACTCGTTTAGACACGAAGCAGAGCCCTTTTTGGATCGTTTAGTTATGAAGGACGGAAAATGGGTTACGTGTGATAGTTCAAAGTGGAAACCATAATGATTATTTCCAAGTGATGCACCAATGGCAACTCCAAAACTGAATATTCATGCAAATAAAATAGTGTGTGTATGGTCGAGTTTGTAGGAAGTTATTCTTTTGAACCTTCAGTGCCCAGAAATATTGTTACTGCCAGCCTTTATTGAGAATAATTAACACGTTTAAGAAGTGCAAGTGCAAAAAAACATCCTGCTGCGGTTAACAAAAGGTCACGTAGCAAAAAATCAGAGAACTTGACTGGAAATCCAATCCGAGTATCATTTATTTAGATCTTTACAGTACTTTTTAGACAGTAAAAAATTGTCCAATAACGAAGATGTTAAGAACGATATACAAAAATATTTTAATGAAAAATTAAGGGATTTTTATAAACGGGGCATACAAAAGCTCGTTTCAAGATGGCAAAATGTAGACAATTATGGCGACTATCTCACTGATTAAGAGTTTCATATAGGATTTAAAGAATTTAAGTAAACTTCATTTAAAAAAAACATTATTTATAAATACTTCTAATATATTAATGGTTGACGTCATTATGCTTTGTAAAATAGCAACATGTAGATGTTAATACACATTAATTAATGTCAAATTATTTTCCATGATACGCTAAATGATATTTATCAAAAATGTTGTTCAAAACGTGGTACTTATATTGAGATATGAAATTTGAAGTGAGAATATTATATTCTGTGATTAACCATTAAAAACATCTATACAATAATATTAAATAATGACGTATAGGGCATAATTTAATGTGAATACCGTAAAATGTTTTATTAGGCAAATATAAGTTTTAGATATTTTAGCAAACAAATATTGGATACATCTTTATCATCTGAATTATACATATACAGTAATGCTTTTGTGGATATTGTTTCAATCTATATGAAACTTTATATCATTATAGATCATGTATTGTTCTCCGAAATATTAATGAAAAACTTTGGCACAATGCATTGAATTCTGCCTATACAAACATAACATATGCAACGGTCTTCGTTGTACGAATTGTCTATGCTGACAGTAATTTAACAGTAAAAGTTCCAAACATTGCAAATCAACATTTGCAAATTCAGACACATGAATTTAAAAAGTCACAGGTCATATTTTTTTTTCCTTTTCATTCAAGTACTTTACTTTTTAAATTTCGCGCTGGAACTTTAAAAAAATCGAGATCACCAAAAATATTTAATATTTTAACGATTCAGAGACATCAAGGTCATCGGATTACACATACAGTAAGAGAGGGAAGGAAAGAGAGGGGTAGAGGGAGCGGGAGAGAGAAAGAGTTTGTTATTATTTACGATAATATTTATCGTATATTATACTTTTCTGCCAATTTATATTGTATATATCTAATATATATACATATATATATAATATTTGATACTACTGATCATAGTCATATAATTACTTCCAAATTAATAAACTGCGCATCTCATTTATTTAATATATAAGATCATTCTTAAAATTATTTATAACAAAATTCCTAGAATTGAATAAGAGTTTTATTTATATATTATTTATAATTTCATTTAGTTCATAACTGTTAAATTTAACTGTTATATGATTCATTAATCTTGACTATTCTGAGATCGTTTATGGAAATGGAAATTTGCATGAATATTTACCATTTCATCACTGGTAAAAAGTATTACGTTTTCATTATACAAATATTTTCACTTTTCTGTGTACATCACCATTTTTATTTGAAAAACATACAGAGAAGAAGATAATATATATGAAAATGCATTCAAAACGTAAGTCCCAATACTTCTCTCGAATTAAAAGATTTTTATGTGTTGGCTACCTTTCGTGATCGATTTGGCAGTTTTAATTAAAGGTAACCGAAAGAAGATTGTATCGTGTTCTCGTTATGTGTTATCAAGTAACCCACATTAGAAAACGTAATTTGTCAATTATTGATCCGGTTTCTTCTTCCATCGTGACACCTCTGGCACCGAGTCACCGGCCTCTTAAGACGCTGGTTTAAATTGCAATTAGGCGGTTCGATTAAACGGCCGATCGAAAGTTTCAAAACAGTTCACTAAACGGTTTTTCGCTAGGTGAAGTGGAAAATAAATAAATTATATAGTTTAAGCTGCAGAAATTAGTTTTCAGATCTTTAGAACCTCTAATTATCTCAAAACTTTTTAAAGTTCGAGGGTACAGCAAAATCTGTCCTTCAGATCGGATTCGTAAAATTCAATTATAAATTTCATTTGAATTCTTTTCTTACATTCCTTCTAGAACGACTTTTCATTTACGTTATTATTAAAGTATACGAATTAGGATTGTAAAAACTTAGGAAATAAAAAAAAGTATATAAAGATACCGTTAATAATTTAATTAAATTTGGCACACTAACGAGAGTTTCTTAAAATATAACAAAATTTTAATTCAATCAGCCAAATATTCAATCAGATCTTAAAAATACTAATAAATACTTGGTTATAATTGACGAAAATAGTTACCTTGCCTGAGAATTTAATGTTATTAACAGAAATAAATGTACTTTGGATAGTTCGTGGTTGAACACGATACGAATCCCTAATTCACTTCAAAATTTATCTTCATTTTTTATTAAAAAAAACAATTGGCCATTAAAATTACAAAAATTCAATCTTATTGGCAGACCATTTTAGATATGTATATTTCCTTAAATTTCTGTACTAACAAAAATTCATTTTGGAAAATAAACAGACGATAAAAATGATGTCTTCTTAATAAATAGCGAAATATAGGTAAACAGTATACAAATATAGAAATAGAATATTTATACATGATACTAATAGCAACAAATAATTAATACGTACGTAAATATAACAAGTACATAAATAAGTAATTGATCTTATTTCTTAAGCATGTGCTTTTGCATTCATATACCTGGTTTTATAATTAACCCTTAAGTACTATAATCGGTTTTACAAACCGCTGGCGAATCATAAATCCATGCTAAAACATAAACAAAAATATAAACTATCCATAATTTCAATGATTGTATATTGTAGCATAACTGAAAAGTGCATGGAGCTTCAACATTGTAAGTCATGTACGAAAGAAAGTGGAGATATGTACAAATTTTGTAAGATCAACTGTAACACTTAGAGGATAAAATTACTTTATACGATTTTTCATATTGTTTGAAAAATTTAAAAAATTATTTCACTTAACTCGTTCATCATATAGAAATATCTTTAACTAAACTTAGTACACAATATCGACTAAAGTTCAAAATCAAAATAATTTATAATAAAAATAAAGCTATGCTTGTTCTGGCAATAAACTTATATAATTATAAATGATTGTGTTAAACGAAAAAATTAAATTTTGAATAACTGTTTCTAAAAGTATCTGCTCGAAAGTATGTAAACGTTTCCTCAAGCTGAAAAATTGACAAGTGATTCCAAACTCTTGACTGTTAACATATATAAAATAGAATAAAATTATTTTATCCATTATTTCAAATATTATATTAATTATTGATATAAACGGAGAATGTAATGATAAGAATTTATTGCTAAATAGTAAATTTGATACTTCATTCAACAATAAAGTAATAATTCTTTCATTAATGTGAGTACTCGTGTATATAACTCGACTAAAAAATTAAAATGGTATACATAAAAAACAAAACATCTAAGAACAGAGAAAGACAATATGTAGCTTGACTCATTTATAATATGCTTTATGAATATTTTAATGTGTCTCACAAAAAGTCCTAAATATAGAGAAAACGTAATATTTTCATTGTTTTACAACAAACTAAAATGCACGTTACTTTTTATTGTATTATAAAAAAACTTTTTTACGTAATTCCAACTTTTACATTGCAAGCTCTGGATAAAATGAAATATGTATTTACACATAAAACAGAAAGTACACTGTTTTATAGGAGGTCCTTTATGCAATGTTCTGAGGTCTGTAGGATAGGATTGGACGAGGGGAATTCAGAATAAATAATAGACGATATAAATATATCACATAATTTAGTTTCGCTTTAATATATTAGATATTGTTCAGTATAATATATGACTCTCGTACTATATTCTAATTATAACGGTAAACGGCATACACGCTAAACATTTCCGTTTTGATATATCAATAATTTACACGAAAATATTCATTGTGACGCTTTCTTGCTCACAAACATTCAGCCGGAACGGTAACACACGCACTCACACTGTTTATCACACTTCTTACACCGTCCCTCCCGTCGTGGAATTAATGAAATTGACAGGAGACAATCAACAAGTTAAAAAGAAAAAGAATAAAAGGACTTGAAGGATTAAAAGGAACATATACAAGATACGGACTATTATTACAAGCAACGATCACACGCGGATGAATGCCTGACTGTTTCTATCTTCGTAAAACCACGTTTTTGGTTTTTGAGCACCAATAAATTCATTGCCCACGGAGATTCAAGTTTTAATGAATTTTTACAAGGTGAAAAAAGATTTATACAGACAGAACATGAGTTTTCTTTTAATTTGCAGCTGTGTGTACTATTAAATCTTTTATGCTAGGTATTTATATAAAAATATTTGTCATGTATGTGTACACTGCAAGAAATAGATTTTTTAGGCATTCTCAAAAATAGAACCGACAAGTATTGAAAAGCAAGATGGCGATATAGATGGATTTCAAGCCTGTCTTCCCAAGAGGGTTCAATTTAAAAGCAGCTTAAAGGAGGAAACTGCCAAATATGTAGACACAAAGCTGTAGGTTCCAATTATGAATTCTTCATGATAATAGAACAACTCTTTTTATGTTCGATATTAAAACCTTAAAATTTATCTTGATAGATTAATTAATTTCATATGGGTACACAGTATATCTTACCAACTAATGAACATCTAAATTATTTTCTTCAGTATTGAAAATAAGAAATAAATTTGTTTTTGTAATTATTTCTTACTTTCACTATTAGTAGAAAAAATATAGGTGTTCGTTACAAATAGGATACTTTGTGTACATACTTTTTCATCTTTTTTTTTATAAAAAATATTTCTCTTAAGTTTAATTTTGATTTCATCACTAAGTAAGGTATTTTTTCAAACTATAATTGATCTGTGAACTAATTATATAAATATTCACGCGACAATAAGTGAATATTTTCATGAATTGCTATGAGGCTGTATCGAATGCTGGATGATACTATGAAGCACTGTATGTTTACACACATAAGAATATCCTTTCTTGATTGTGGTAGCGCATTAGAAACTATTTTATTTGTAAAATTAAATCAGTAAACATATGATACTTACAATATCTTTGCAATATTTGAAAATTTTTTCCTATTGTGAGAAGAAGTTATTGAAATCTGTTTCCAGGCTAATTATTAATTCACGCCATTAAAATTTGTATTAAAAAGTACATAGAATATGAACAAGTGAATTTTTTATCGAAATAAAACGAATGAATTTCTATTTTTATCACCGCAGTTAATTTTGCAACTTGGTACATTATTATTATACATTACAAAAAGATTTATGCGGATAAAAATAGCTCTTGTTCTAAGAAAATACATAAGAAATTAATTAATTAATTTAATAATTAATATCTTTTGTTTGTAATTATATAAAACGTATGGATAGACGTTTCGAACAATTTAATTTGAAATATATTTTCATGGTCGATGTTTGTATCGAATCAGCACAATTTGTGTTCTGATAAATCCCCTTTTTGTACAAATCTATTGGAAGCTTGAATTGACGAAACAAAAATGAGTCACTCGTGAATACTTTGGTACTAACCGAAGACTATATTTCAAAGGTAAACAATGTATCAATACTGTTGTTTTTATTTCTCTAAAATGAATCATGTTTGTCATTGTTTAAAACCGCATATATATTCCATTATACAGACCGTAATTTATATCGATACATTTGATAACAAATCTCGAAAGTAAATGACTCAGTTGATAATTGTGCAATTGCAATAAGATTATGTCTGTGGAAATAGTTTTCTATCGTCGATACAATTTTTTTCTACTGCACAATATATTATTCATATTATTGTTAAAAGAAAAAATCTCATATCAGCAGTTGTCTCGAAATCGAACAATTTTTTGTCTGCAATTGTATAAAAGGATTTCAATTACCATCCGGCAGTACGATGTATTTTAACAGGATTATCAAATTCAAATTTGAATTCCAAAGATTTTCGTTCCACTTTGGAATATCGGCATGTAATTCTACACATCTTTCATTTTACAAGTGAAACATAAATAAATCATAATACTCGATTACTTATAAAAAACCATTGATGCCATGTCTACAGTTATCCTCGATTTCAGAAAACCATTAAACGTGGTCTTATGAAGACGTGTATCGGGACCTGAATGCGCATAGAATCGCATTTTCGTTTGATTTCCCTCTATCGGATCGTCAGCCCTTTCCCGCGCAGAGGAAACCGAACATCTGGCTTTAAACGAATATCGCGTGACATCCAAGATAATAGAAAGCAAGGTGAACTACGTGTAAAGAAGCTCTCTCTTACTCCCGTTGTCTCTAGCCTAATTAATTAGAACATTACAACAGACGATTAAACTCATTGCCGTATCGAGTAACAAAGATCACGATTAACCTTGATGCATAAATGTACACTTTGGTTTACGAATACATTATCTAATTACAACGTACAACTCGATTCTTGATTATGAACGAGTCCGTAACAGCGGAGAGAACTTCCGTGCAAACGCGATTCCAAGACAGAGCCAATTGCCCTTCGCTCACATCTTCTTACGTACCAAGTAACTACATATTCAGGAATTATCTGTCTCGTTGATTGAAGTCCTGGCTACGATGTTCGATCACTTAGTCGGAAAACGAAATTATAAAAGCGGAACCACTAATCCCCGAGTACCTCTACTAATTGCATACTGTATCACTTAACGGAAATATGTATTTAAATAATTAAGATACGCAAGCTTTTTTCCAACAAATATTTAGAGAATTCGAATAATATGTAAACTCTTCTTCATGATCTAGTTAACAGAAAGAACATTTTCATTATCATTCTGATGTTTCCCTGAATCCATCAAGTGATAGAAACGTGCCTATATAACAACATTTCAGGGAATAGATTACCCTCTTGCTTTACAACAACGTATCGGATTCATGCTGAAGATGTCAAAGAGAATTTGAAAAAGATAAGTATTACTTAACTCTTTTGAATTCAAATTAAACATTATTATTCTGTTATCAATAAGTATACAGCAAACATAAACGTAGAATATGACCAGAATTTTTCTCTTTTCTTAATAAATTATTAATGGCAAAGTAATTGTATCGATCATAATTGAGAATTAAATCATAGAGCAAGAGGTTAACGGCATTTCTTAAAAATGTTTAATTACGACATACATATCCTTTCGTATTTCTGTTTTCGGTAAAATTGTAATGTTACTTTTTAAAAATGTTAATGTGTTTATAAATGTCCACCAATATAGAAAGGTACATTCACCCCTTAAAGCCATGACCATTAATCTTTCGTAACAGACTCGTTTGAGACTCCCTTCCACTCTTCGATGGTTCGTGAAATAATGGCATTGTGGGAAGGTTACAGCTTTCAGGGGTAGTTTTATTTAAATGCAGGCAAACTATTAAAATTGAGGATAAGTATGTTGGAAAATTTTGTTTGGTCGACAATATTGACAGATTTTCAATAAGAAACGTCGTATAAAAAATATTTAGAATTCATAATATTTTTCGCATTCCGTGTAGATCATGTTATGTCTTACTTGAAGCTGCGTAATTACTGCATTTGATGTTTCCTTATATTGCTACGTATTTTCAAGATATATGCAACCCTCAATATTGAAGGGTAGTTTCACCTACGAAATTTAAGTTACTGCCGCTGAATAAATATGTGAACTTTGTGTTTAACTTTTCTTTGTCAGGATACTTCGCGAATATTCTTCGTTAGTATCTCATATAGATCATAAGCAGTTTCATACTATTTTGCGAGATTTTATAATTGTTGACGCATGTGACGTTTTACACATGATTACATAGTCTTTTGACATCCTCTACAAACATTAATATATTAGAAGGTTTCGAAAAGTTCAATAAGCAATGAAAAATTTTAATTGAAAATTCTACATAACATTTGGATTTATGACTGCATTACAAAAGTATCAAAGGAGTGAACTCATTCTAAATGAAACAGATTTCCCATTAACTGATTTTGTATACAAGAACGTATAAAATTAGAAATCGATATTATTGACAGTATCTTATTTTAACCCCTTGTATTCTGATATCTTCAGAAATAATATTTAATAATTGTTATAACCGTTAATAATCTGTTGAAAGTAAAAAGAAGTTTACGAGGAGTTTCGAAAAGTAATGACAAATTTTTGTATATTTTAAAAACAGAGAAAAACATTTTTTTTACAGGATCATGAAACCAGGAAAAAGAAAATTCTATTTAAAAGATGAATAACGTTTATGTATGGTATTGAATTATCCACCTCACAATTTTCAATTTGTTATTATTTTTTTTAAACACCCTCGTGCATTCATGATAGCACAGTATTTACTTCAAAGATTATTTTAAATATCAATAATAGCATTTAATTTGGACATAAGAAAATTAAATAACATTTACATTTATTAAATTCAGTTTAAAATCTGCAGTACGAGACTGACTCAATATTAAGGAGCAAGGGGTTAATATACAATATTACGAATACTAAATCTTGAATTTATATATTATGTCTTTATAAGTATAAATAATGTGAAATTTTGTCAAATATATCCGAAAATTTTTCGATTTTCGTAAATTTAAGGAACAGTCGTCCTATCTGTTTCAAAACTTCCAGATATACCGACACAATAACTGAACTTGTTAATCAGTTGCAATTTACAGTAAAAGCTGGCAATTCATTAGGTATCGCATAATTTCGTTATAGTTTAATACGAAATAAAATTCCCCGTTTCTTAACACTGGGAATTAAGTTTAAAGATGAATCATCATAAACCGCAGGTCTTCAATCTGTGATGAGGATCTTATATAAAAAAAGCTGATCATCATCTAGCAATTCCCTTCAAATTTTCCAGTACACCCTCGTTTATCTTCGTCCTCTCTCGACCACAAAGTTCTGCCATAGTAAGTATACGTACAATACGATCAGGTACAAGAGTAGCATCTCTGGGTTGATCTGTTTTATTTCCAAAGAGAGGACGAAGCTCCTTGACGGTCTTAAGCTAATTAACTTCGGTCTCGTCGGGTTTCCTGAACTCGACGACGAACGTAAAATTCACAGGATAATCTCGTTTGAAAATATGGATTTCTCTTTGAGACGAACAGTGGAGTTAATCAAATAAGATATTTGTTCCTGATGAATGTTCACAGTGAACGAAAGTCATACGCAATTGAGATTGAGAGTGAGTCCTCGGAATCTAAAGCGTTCATACAAGAATTTGAAAAGCCCTTATCGCGCTTGCAATCGCAAATCATTGGTACCGACAATGCTCCGTAGTGATTAATATAAATTAATAAATAAACTCGCGATGCTTTTAATACCTAATATCGAGACGTAGGCGCAGAATATTCCAAACTTCTCGGCGGGATGACCATTCGCGCTCATCAGCACCCAACTGTGTAATTCGCTCCATAAATGCATAGATACTACCGTCTGTTGGTCATTCCATCGCCTGTATCGCGGTTCATGATAATGACTATTGGTCCGCCTGGTCACTGGTTTCTTCGTTATCGGATATCGAGGACATCCTGTCGTGATTTGTGCGATTGTCCGTCTTGCACCTGGATTCCGCAATTTCGAGCCAGTGATGCTTGTTCTTCCTGACGCCATCCACTAACGGTTCCAGTTTATCTGACAATAAAGCGAATGCCTGCCCAAACGAATTACAAAAGTTTAATTGGTTTTGCAACGTACGTTACGGAGTATTTTTTGGAGTAATGGAACCAAGAGATCCAGTCGCAATACAACTTGTAATGGAATTTTCGAGCGAGTCTAAACCAATTATTATAACTGAACATTTGTCACGAATTTTGTGAATTTATAACGTAAGAAAAGGGCTAAAAACAATAAACCGCAAAGTTTCATTTCAGATTTTACTACAGGTTTTTGTAAATTGCTCTTTAGAAATTAAAAATTGTGAAACCAGTTAGCCAAGTTATAATTATACTATATTTTTAAATAAATAAGCTTCTTTGTCTGCAGAGTTTATTCGTATTCATATATTCGTATATTCCTTTATATTTCTATGTATATCAAAATGGAAATTTAATTTTTTATGTTCTCCTTTATTTTAAAATTTAATATATTTATTTTAATAACATTAATGTATCTCTTTCATTCTTGTAACAAATGGAGTTGTGACGAAAACAGATCATGTTTTTATACTATGTTATTGTAATGAAAAAAATATTCATCCTATCTCCATTCAGTCAATTCTATTAAATTGTTTTGTTAAAAAAATTTATCAGATTTGAAAATATTGTTTACTTTAGTTAAAAATGTTTCTCTCAATAACATCATTTGACCAAATAAGATATTGCAATAACTAATAATATAGAAACAAAACAAACGTTCATGTCTGTTGTCGATATCGTAGAAAATTACCTCGTAAATAGGGAGGCAGATCGAATCGATGAATCCAACTTGCATCATAGGTAGCTGATCTTCCTTCTCTCTGTTCATAATGTCCTGCAATATCAAAGGAGCAATATTATTATTAACGGATACCTAGTAACTGTTATAACATGTATCAATTTTTAAACTTAAGTACCAAAGTTCATATGTAACTGTGTACGAATACAAAATTAAAAATCTAGTACTTTTATACTTAATATGCAATAATACCATTTATCTTATTAAAAATATATGTAATAGCTAGTAGATTTGAGCATCGTGTATAACTTTGAATTAAAGCAATAATTAAGTAACCATTATATTACCAATTATTTCATATAAAATCAATAATATTACTCCCATTTCTATTGTGACAGTACATACTGATATCCATGCAGCATTGATACATGATATGTATTTCAAAGTTTGTAATCATTTTTCTGTAGGTAAATAATGCAAAGAATAATTTCACAATAA